CATGAAATAAATTATACCATCAAAACCTAACTTGTAAATATAATACCAATAAGTAATAAATTAATTTAAAACAGGTCTTCAAAATCAAAATCACAATAAACCGAACAGTAATAGCAAAAGTGTCATCATCCTAAAATACAATACTTTAAAATAAGGTCCATGTCACCAAAATAAAGTCAACTAGCATGATAAAACATTACAATCAGATATACTTCAAGAGATATGTTGATCCTCCAAGTGCTCGAACCGATGTATCTAACCAACAATATCTGAAAGGGGCAAAAACATTTTCGAAAGGTGAGCTAGGCTCAGTGTGTCCCAATATTACCTTAAAATCACAATAGGTACATTAAACAAATCATAGTCCAGTAAATCTCATAAATTCATAAAAGAGTTTAACTTTTGAAAATCATAGTTTAAACTCTTTTCTTGTACACCATCAGTAATTTCCAAAACTATTTTCCATATAGCTTACTCTAAGCACACAGCAAAAAGAAAGCCAACCTAAGGATAAGCTTTATAGCTTGTATCCTTAAGCCCGTAAGTCCAAGTCCATATAGCTTACCCTAAGCACACAGCAAGGGAAGCCAACCTAATGTATCTTGGGGCCCCAAGAGTCAGATTAGGCTCATTCTGTTTATTAGCTTGATTTGAGTTATACTATTGTAATTCAATCCAAAAGTTCAATTGCGCCGTGACACAAATTCCATAAATCATCACATTAAATTGATGCATCAATAAAACAGTAACCAAAGAACTCAGTGTACCTCATATTAAAATCAATAAAACAGTTCAGTAATAATTAGGGAACACACCTCGATAATAGGTTCAAATAGTAGATCTACTGATTGCTGGTTTCACCACGTTCTGCTATAGTTTTCGAACGTATTTTATAATAACACTATATTACTTATGGGTAACATAAATAAATCTCTAAAATCATAAAATTTATGGGTCTTACGGGTGAATACTGGCACACGTGGTTTAATTGATCTAGAAGAGCTGGGTCGAGCTGTCGAACGATCCAAAGAGTCTCTTGTACCTTCAAACAATAATAATTTATCAGCCCCAAATCTTATTTAATTGTTCAAAGCTATATAAGCATTTTCAGGGTTTAACTATCAATTTGGAGGATTTTGGGTTTGAATTTGGCCAAACCGATTGCGGAATTGGAATCAGGACGTCGAAAAACATAAAGTATGTCTTTTCAAAAATTTAAATTCTTGGTCAAAGTCAAAGTCAACCACTTTGACCGTCGATTTGGATGCCTTCGGGTTCGACTTTGGTGAAACGGACTTCGGAAACGGATTCGGGACGTCGAAAACTATCAGAATAGGTATACTCGGAAAATATTTACGGTCGTTTAAGGGTCGGTCAAAGCCATTTAAGGTTCTGGTCAAAGAAAGTTAACGGTCGGGTCAACGGTCTGGTCGGGATCGGTCGGTTCGGGTCAGACCGGTCAAACCGATCAAACCGGTTTTCTAGCTACTTACTCTCCCTACGGCGCGTGTGGCGCGTGAGACGTCATCCGGGGCTCTAAAAATCACGGAAAAATTTCTACAAATTATTTTGAGCGATTTCGAGATACTTACTACGATCGGTTAAATTTTGAACGGCGGAGAGCTCGATTTTAAATTGCCGAAACTTTGACTGCTCCACCTCTTCACGCGCCGCCGTCGACGGAGACCAAGGTTCACACCGGCGGACTCGAAACGGCACAAGGAACACGATGGTGCGGGAGGTGTCGAAAACCGATCAATGATCGGAGATGAATTTAAGATTTTCTCAGCGGTACTGCTAAAAAAACGTCGAGACTTTGACTCAAAATTCATGACGTTTGGCAGCGTTTTGCTATAGTTGATTTACTGGGTTTTGTTCACGGGTCGAAAATGAACACGACGGTGGTTTCAATTTTACGATTGGAGGTCGAACGGCATCGGAAACGGGTTTGGAAGTAAGGGTACAAGAGGAGGAAATTTGAGCAATTATCATTTGTGTTTTCTGGTTTAAAACCAGAAAACACGTTTATAACACGAATCCTGCCGACAGTTTTAGGAGAAATTCAGGGTTTGGTCCCTGAATTTCCTTTACTTCGAAAATGGTCTACAAGTTTTCATAAATTTTAATTTAGTCACTTAATTTCACCCAATTACACCAATTTAAATTATTTTTTTCCTCGGGTTGTTACAATTTCATATTAATATTCTAAATTATTTTTAAAATATTTATTTTAACTTCAAAACAATTGAAATTTAGTTATATTTTTTTAATCTTTAATAAATTTTCTTACAATTATGTAATTTGAATTTTTAAAATTTATGTATGAATTATATATTATAGACATTTAAATTTTAGAATTTTTCTATATAATCTTTTTTTAACAAATAATATAATTTAAAGAAAAAATAAAAAAAATTATGAACCGGATACCTGTGACCAAAAAATACGGGTACCCACATTTTATGGGTACACGGATCAATTTTAGTATCCGAAATTTCGGGTGCTTGGTATTTCGGGCATCGAAAAATACGAGTACCCGATTTTGAACACTCCTAGTTATTGGGTTGCAATTGATGAATCTGCACAAACAAGGCAAGTTATCATCTTCGTTCCACGATTGAAGATAAGAGAAAGGGCCTTTATATCTGATTTCAACACTATCAAGCCAGGAACATCGTCGTTTAGTTAAATAGAAGAAGCTTCATTGTCTCCAATGCAAAAACCCATGGAAAGAAGTAAACAAATCAAGAAATGAAGAGAACCCTTTGTTATTATCCCTATTATTTTCGCTTTTGTTCTTTGAAAACCACATGAAATCAAGCGGAAACAATGGAATCATGCATTGTTTTTTGCTAAAGAAAATGTAGTTTTTTTTTTCACGGGAGTTTTTTCCCAGCTTTGTGATAAGGATTCTTTCAGTTTCATCCTTTAATTCTTGCTCATAAAAAGAACAAATTAACTTTGAGGAATCGAGAAAAAGAGTGAATCAGAGTGAAATTAATTCTGAGATGAAGTAGTGGTTCAAAGATGGAGTAGGGGAAGCAGTGAAGAATATAGATTTGGGGAAGAAAACATGTGAAAAAAAAGAGGTAAACTGATATTTTATCCATGAACTATTTTGAGTTTACAAAAAGACTCATAATTAGCAATTTATCTTAAATTTAAGGGTTTAAATAAAATTAAACATTTTTAAAGTAATATTATGATATTGGACAAAATAAACATTAACAACATATTGTCATATATATATATAATTATTATAAACAAAATATAACGGTGGACGATCATTGACAATCTAATGAGTAAGAGTATTCCGACGTTTTTTAGCAGCAAACATAGAGGAAGAAAACCTGGAGACATCTAAAGCTTACGAATAAAAAACTAATCATTCTTTAATTGCATTCTCATCCTACACATATTTGAAAATCAACATAATGTCATATATAAATGAACGAAAAAAAAAAAATGCATCTTGAAAGCAAGCAACCAAGAAATCTTGTAGAACCACATACTAAGAAGAAGACCAATAGAAGAAACATGTACCGCGACTCTAAAAATACCGATAACCATAACACTCTTAATTAGATAACGGGCCAAGAGAAAACATTATAATATTTGTGTTAAATAGAAAAAGAAAATATAATTAAGTGAAGAAAGCAAAGATAGAAATGATAGAGAAGTGGTAGAACCGTAGGAGAAAGCCACCACCACTATCCAAAATGCAAAAAAATTGTGGCAACCACCAAAAACAAATAACTGCAAGAGATGAGAATGTAAAAGCAAATAACCGCTCGAATGCATACTTAAATCATTGAAAATTATAAATATTAGACTCAATGTCATCTTTCGTTTAAACATTTCTGAAATTAAAAAGAAATTGACAGAAACTTAGGAATGATATTGAGATAGTCAGGCCCAAATTATTTTTCTTGGGTCTCTTACATGGCTTTTACTTCGATGTTCTGTTCCTGTGTCACATGTTGATTCGAGTATCATTTCTTTCACTTTCTATTTGCAAATTAAACCAATTCTAATTTGAAACCAGTAACAACAATAATAAGCTCGTCATTGGTGGAGGTGGACACTTTGCTTCAATTCCTGTCATTTAATGACCCACTGGCTCATAGGCAAATGTACTGTTACTTAGTTTACAAGCCTAGTGATTTAAAACAGTTAAACAGAAGAAAACATAAAAAAAATCTGCTTTTAAATAGTTGAGCCAATTAGAGTACATTATTTCCAACCTTTTTGGTTACCCACTCGTAAAACAGAAAATTTGCTGTTGGCCCTCCCTAATGGTGGTACTACCTTTTATGGACCTTGTTTTACCAAGATACCCCTCTCCCATTCCATGCAGATCGAAAGTCTTCAATGTCAAACCACAATGTAGAACAAAAAAGAGGAAAATCTGGCAACAGGGTCGAGATTCCAAAGCATCAACTTCGTTGGTTTCCACTTTCCACCATTTGAAGAATATGAATGAAAGTCGTGCCTGTTGTGATTGCAGGGTTAGGTGTGGTGGACAGATATGTAGAGCCGTGGATGATGGGATATTACTATTTTTTTTATTGAAAAAGACTAGGTGCCTGCTATTACTAGTTTAACCTAATGTGGGGATTTGAATAGCAGAACAAGCCTGCAACTCGGATTTGATCCTATCCATTCATACTGGTTAGCTGGAAAGTTGAAACCAAATTTGGGTTATTCGCTTCCTTCTCTACAGACAAGCTTTGAGAATTGCGAGGTTCCACCTAGCTTGAAGCCAAATTCGGGTTTATTTATATATTCATTCATTCATTGTTTTTAACGAAGAAAAAATATTCTCTACATGCAGAGAGATGAAGCACCCATAGTATATAATATAAATAATAATGTGAAATGAAAGGCAACTGCTTAATCTCTTTGTAATTTGTAATGTCTGGTAAGGCCTACAAAACGTTGCCTCCAACAAGTGAAACGCCAGACAGGCAAATACCGACTACAATAACAACACATAAGAAGCACCATCCCGTTTGATCTTCCTGTCCCTTTTATCAAAGCCTATATCTTTCTCCCTCTAGAAAAAAAAAAGAAGAAACTTTGTTCTCTTTTTTCTCTTTACTCGGGGAAAAACATGGAAACTCCACGCACGCTCTTCAAAATCAGCCAACTCTCTCTTTCTTCTTCAATGGCCCAGTTGGACCAAAATTTATCAAAAGAAACAATTTTTTTCCACCGAGTTATGTGGGCTTCTTTGGGATTACTTTGTTTCGGTCAGAGTTTTCACAGAGAAAACAGGGAGACGAGAACCTTCCTCTATATCTTTCTCTTGTTTAGCTCTCTATATTTGTCCTTTCTTCCTTCTCGTTAAATACTCTTCTTTCTCCCCTTTGTTCCTTGTTCTTCCTCCCTATTCCCTTGTTCTGGCCTTCTGGGTTTTCTCTCTCTCTTTATCTCAACGCTGTGATCTGAAACATGAAGAAGATGAAAGGAATTGCTGTTCCTGCTGCTGTTAAGGAGTATTCTCCATATATTTTTTACGAGGACCAAAGGGCACGGTTCAGGTATCCGAGCCATATGGAAGAGTTTGAAGACTTGCACAAGGTAATGGCTTTTTTACGGGTTGTTTAGATTTTGAGTTACTTCCAGTCAGATTTTATTAGATCCCGGTGCTTATAATCCTCTGGGTTTTCTTGATTTATGCTATTTGTCTTCAATCTTTCGGTTGATAATTAGAAGATGACAGCTTTGTTTGGATCTTTGTTTTGGTTTCGAATTGATAAAGATCTTGCCTTGGGCTAGCTGGTAAATAACCCTTTCTTTTGTTAGTGTTTGGTGGAATGCTTTTGGTTATGTTTTTAATGAGCTAAAGATATGAGGAAATGAGAAGTTTTGGTTGTTTGTGTGTTAATATTTTCCGTTCGTCCTTTTGAACACGATGAAGTTCTTCTCTTTCTTCTTAAATTTTCTGTCATGTTTTCCAGCAATACTAATCTACATTTGTTATATAATGAGCTGTGTATCTCCTCTTTTTAGTCTTTTAATCCAGTAAGATATCACAGGTTTGATTGATCAAAGGTGTCTCTATAGTGTTCTTGCTTTATTCCAAGGCTTATAATACGATCATCGATTGTTTTTGCCACCTAAATCCTTTAGTTCTTCTGTGGAGAAACTCTTAGTAGTTAAGAACTTGTCATGGCTTCTCACAAACTACAAAACAAGAGCAGTTCATTGAAGGCTAATTATCCTAACGTATACTCCCAACTAATATTTAGGTGCTTTGTGTTCCTTCAGGAAACGGAGTCCGTGAGAAAGAAATTGCAGATGATGAAAGAGAAAAGATCGACCCTGTTGGCTGAAGTCAAGTATGATGTTGTTCCTACATAAATTTCTATGCTATCAGGATCACAGTTATTGATAAATAGTTGAAACTTTTTTGTTGTTAGGTTTTTGAAACGGAGGCACAAATTCTTGATGCAAAACCAATCGTGGAATACACCGTCAGAAAGACATTTTTTGCAGCCACAGAACATGGTGATTCAAAGTAAATCAAATATGAAGGCAAAGAAATCAACAGGGAAAGGTGCTTCGCCAAGCCGAGCTATGGGTTTCGATTTGAACCAGAAGGGAAAGACAAACAGTGTAAAGGGAACCGATTCTGCTCGGCCTTCCCTTGTGTTTGACTTAAACCAGAAGCAGCAGAAGAGTTTCGGTGGAAAGGAGGAAACTAATTTGCGAAGTTCCTTATCAGTTCTTGACTTAAACCAAAAGGAAAGGTTTTACAGCGGAAAAGAGGCCACTGCTCGAAGCATGAAACCTATTTTTGACTTAAACCAGATTTCGGTAATCTATTATTGTCATAAAAAATTGCTTGCTATATAATGTTTTATCATGAGGTAATGTCTTGAGAATCTCGTTGAATGCAGAGAGAGGAGGAAGAACTAGAAACTCAAACTAATTCAGTGAGAATAGAGGAATTTAAGAAAAGTTCAATCAGAATCGGGAGTGAGGAGCAGCATAATGATACTAAAATATCAGCCTGCAGGAACACTGGAAATGGGCCGAATAGAAGCGGGAAAAGAAAGATCTCATGGCAAGATCAGGTGGCATTGAGGGTTTAAGTGTCTAGCAATGGAGGTGCCTACTGCTTAGTTTGAGGCCCTCCCTTTTTTTTAATTGCTCTTATGTGGTTATTTTCTTCATTTTATATCTTATGTAAAGAAAATCTAGTTGCATCTATTGGATGTATAAAGATAAATATAGTTTATTTGCATCATGATCCATGGATGCTGTTCGTCTTTGGTTGGTTGGTCGGAGTAATCTGGAAGCAAATTCTGAATCTTGCAATTCTTTTTGTAAATGATTGTTGAAATGTTCCACCAATTCTGTTCCTCAAGCTACATTTGGTGATCAATGTAAAGCTACAATCATGCCCCACTTGGTACATAGAACGAGTATTTGGAGTATGCTTGAAGTTGTCACTTTCGATCAGATATGAATGTCAAAGTTAAGCAATTCATAGTGGATTCAACGTCGAGCAATCTAATAATCATTGATTACGGTGATTTTAGGCATTTCCAAGGACAAATTTTAATCAAAATGACTAAAATTTGTATCAATTAACTTATGTTGGTATAAAGTTAAATTTTCAAATTTGATATTTATAATTTTTTATTTTTTATATCATCGCATCCCATATATGTTTATTTAAAATTTGTGGCATTATCCACTCACTAACATTCTCTACGGCAGTTACAAACTCTTGGGCAATTTTCAACTTTTTTTTCGTCATGGCAGCGGTGGTGTCTTCACTATCCTTTCATTTTTAGTTATGTTTTTTTGTATTATCTATAATAATACTCTTGGCCCTTTCTCTACTAAAAGGTATCATGACTACTGGTGTTTTTAGATTTTCGATGTAAGTTTTTATTTGATTTTCTTAATTTTTTATTTTACCTGAATACATGGTTGTTGTTTTCCCGATGTATGGTTCATCTGTTGTTTGTTCAAGACAGTTCGTTGATTATCACATAAAGGTGTCGGATGGGATTGTTGTTAAGGGGAGATCGCTTTTCCGTTGACCATTTTGGTTCTACTTCAAGTTTCTATCCATGTTTGATGCTCGAAGACGTTGGTGTGTTCAGTTTTTGTATGTCGTTGCTTCACTTGTTAATGGTTTTGTTTATAGGCTATCTCAGGCGATCATTGTTATATATTATTTCGATAGTCACGACTGTATTTATTCAGTCTGTATTTGACAAGACGTTTGTTGATACTACTTCAAAAAAAGAAATATCATGTTAATGTTAAAAAAATTGTGGCGTTATAACATATATGTTTTAAAAAATTTAATCTCGTTTAAAAAAATTATTACAGTAAATAAAATTTTGATTTAACGATAAATTTAGATTTTGATAACTTTATTTAAGTTCTCTTATGCGTGTCTCAAAAATTAATTGAAATATATAATTAAGATTGATAATAAAGTTAATATATGCTTAGTATGTAAACTTATATTTCATATAAGATCAAGAAATATATGAAGATTAAATTAAAATCATTTACTTTTATGAAAAAACATTTATTAAAATTTAATCTTAATTATTAATTTAAAATTATTCCATGATTTTATTTATCTATTTGATAATAATAATAAAATTTGCAACGTTTAAATGAAGGCTTGATGTCCAAATAAGTGCCCAAACTATACCTTTTGAGTTCAATAGGTGCCTACATTGTTTTTGGCCTATCCGGGTGTCTAACGTTACAAATGTTAGTACTTTAGGTGCCCGGACATCAACGATGTTAGTTTTTCCTGTTAAGTCACAAGTGTCAACACCTGGTAATTTTGATTTTTTAAAAAATATTAGAAAATTATTATATTTATAAAAAAAACTCTACTTTTCTTATATTATAAAACAACTCCAAAATCCAAATCTTAACCTTAATCCGCCGTCGCCGCCCTCTCCGGCCACGACCACCATGACCAATATGGTCATTTCCATCATCCTAGTTATATGTTATTGTATTTGTTGTCGATTCACCGTCAGAATCGCGTGGGATCATAATTTTTATCATAGGATTCGCGAGATCTCAATTGTGTGAGTCCTAAAGACAACTTCCCATTTCCTCATATTGACACCCCGATTGATAACACAACTAAGCATGTTTTTTCTCCTTCATAGATGGTTTTCCAGTGTACAATCAAATCAAGATGGACCCCAAAAATATAGAAAAGATAACATTTGTGACAATGTGGGGCACGTTTTGCTATAAGGTGGTGCCCTTTGGATTAAAAAAATACAGGGGTAACATATCAACGAACCATGGTCACATTATTCCATGATATGATGCACACAAAAATAGAGGTATATGTGGATATAATTGCCAAATCACAAACCAAAGAAGAACATGTTGAAGTTTTGAGGAAACTCTTTTTGTGGTTAAGGAAATACAAATTGAAACTTAACTTGGCAAGTGTACCTTTGGAGCCACTTCATGGAAATTGCTAGGGTTCGTAGTCAACGAAAAGGGGATGGAGATAGATCCAGACAAGGTTAAAGCAATCCAAGAATTACCACCGCTAAAAACTCCAAAAAAGTATGAGGTTTCCTAAGGAGGCTAAATTATATTGTCTGATTTATCTCTCAATTAACAAAGAAATGTGATCCAATCTTCCGCTTATTGAGAATGAGGGATTTGGGAAGATAGTTGTCAGAAAGGTTTTGATAAAGTCAAGCATTACTTATCAAACACATCAATTTTAGTATCCCTAATTCTAGAAAAGCCATTGATTTTGTACTTAACATTTTTTAAAAATTCATTGGGTGTGTACTAGCGCAACGTGATGAAACTGGGAGGAAAGAATATGTAATCTATTATCTTAGTAAAAAATTCACTAACTATGAGACTCGGTATTACCCGATTGAGAAGTTGTGTTGTGCCTTGGGATGGACCATAAAAATACTAAGGTAATACTTGTTGTATCATACTACCTGGTTAATAAAATTGGATCCGTTGAAATACATGATGGAATCCTCAGCTTTAACTAGAAGGATGGTCAGGTGGCAGATGTTGTTGTCTGAATTTTACATAGTTTATGTGAGCCAAAAGGCAGTGAAAGGTAGTGTCATTACAGACTTCTTGGCGAGTAGAGCATTAGAGAATTATGAACCAGTGAAATTTGAATTCCCTAATGAGGACTTAATGTGGATCTCCAACATCAAAGAAGAAGAAGCCCTAAGAGATGAAGTATGGAAGATGAACTTCGATGGTGCCTCAAATTCTATAGGGCATAGAATTGGGGCAGTGTTGGTTTCACCTAAAAGTGATCATTATCCTTTTACCAATCGAGTTGCTTTCAAATGTACGAACAATATAGCTGAGTACGAGGTATGTATCATGGGAATTCATGCTATAATTGAGCGTAAAATTAAGATTCTAAAGGTGTTCAGGGACTCAACATTGGTAATTTATCATCTTCGTAGAGAGTGGATGACTAGAGATTCCAAGATGATAGAATATAAAAATATGGTCATGGATTTAATAAAGGAATTTGAATAAATTACCTTCAATTACCTCCCGTACGAGGAAAATCAACTGGCAGATGCCTTGGCTACGTTAGCTTGAATGTTCAAAGTTAATGACTATGCTCAAATGATGCTCATCTGAATGAGCATAAGAGAATCTCCACTCATTGGTATAACATTGAGAAAGATAAAGAAGATGGTCTCCCATAGTATTATGACATCCTTCAATATGTAAAATATCGAGCTTACTCGGCTGAAGCTACGGAGAATGACAAAAGAACCTTGAGGAGATTAGCTATGGGATATGTACCCGATGGGGAAGTCCTTTACAAGAAATGAAAAAACAGATACTGTTGAGATGCTTGGATAGATGTGAGGCTAAAAAGATACTCGAGGAAGTCCATGAAGAAATATGTGGAACACATGCCAATGGGTTCATAATGGCCAAACAAATCATGAGGTTCGGGCATTACTGATATACAATGGAAGAGGATGGTATCAAATATGCCCATAAACATATCTATGGTGATAAATTTCATGTGCCTCCCTCACCCTTACATATAATGACTGCACCTTAGTCTTTCTCAATGTGGGGCATGGATGACATTGGGCCTATCACACCAAAGGCTTCTAATGGGCACTACTTCATCTTCGTGTCCATCGATTACTTCACTAAATGGATTGAAGTTGCATACTATGCTAGTGTAACCAAAGGGGTAGTATGTCGATTCTTTAAGAAAGAAATCATTTGCAAATATGGAACACCAGAGAGAATTATCTTAGATAATGCCTTAAATTTGAATAATGATTGATGAGGGAAATCTACAAGAAGTTCAAAATCGAGCATCATAACTCGACCCCTTGTCACCCAAAGATGAATGGGGCAATAGAGGCAACTAACAAAAACATTAAAATGATTGTCACAAATATAACTCACACATATAGGGATAGGTATGAAAAGTTACCCTTTGTCTTACTAGCTTATAGTACCTCTGTTTGCACCTCAATTAGAGCAACGCTTTCTCACTGGTCTATAGGGATAGAAGCAATTTTACCAATCAAAGTGAAAATCTCTTAGCTGAGAGTTATTTTTCGCGACCAAATGTATCATAAGAGAATGATAAGCTTATAACAAGAAGGTCAGGCCCCAAGAATTCCATTAGGGAGACTTGGTGTTGAAAAAGATTCTCTATACAAAAAGACTTTTGAGGGAAGTGGATGCCAAATTGGGAGGGCCCTCACGTCGTGAAAAAAGGCCTTTTTCGGAGGAACTCTGACTTTGAATAAAATATATGGAGATAAGTTGCCTAATCCTATGAATTCTGATTCAATCAAGTGATAATACACATGAAAAAATGATGCAAAGATGAAAACCCAAAAATGGGCATCTTGAAATCAAAGGAGGATTCGATTTGAAAATCCACAAAAAATAGCTCGAATATTCAAGATTAGGTTGATGAAACGTGGATTCCCTTAAGCTTGAAAATTAAGGGTAGGTACTCATGCTCAGATATCTTGATACCAGGGGTACTTGGTTTTTTTTCTTATCGTAACGTTTACCTTCTCCTTGAAAGAAAATTGACTCAAAATGATTACACCTTCCTTTTTGTTAATAAGACCAGTTGATTATATTTTAGTGCTTCTTTTCATAAGCCTCATGCATATAAAATATTGATTAATAATAGTTTTTATATATAAAAATGATTATTATGATTCACTTTAAGGAAAGCTTAGGGGTATAGGGA